GGGGGGGGGGGTCTTCATAAACGTTGTCTCTCTTCTGCGATTCAGAAGTCGACTAACTAACTCAGCTACAATTAGGCATGCATGATGGAACCTAGATGGTGTAGACTAAAAAAAAAATTAGAGTTTCACAAAAACAGGACAAAACCTTATTACAGACTAATTGCACTTTACAGATTTAACCTGCCTGAGACCGTCCAAACACATTTGTTTCCACATCAATCATACAGGCATTGGGGGAAATGAGGTTCTGGTCGTTTCCTCCAGCCGAGACGTTGAGGACACCGTGGACTAAACAAGGAATGCTGTCTTTTTCTGGTCGAGAAGCATAACTGCTTGTAAGGTAGCATGTAGGAGCTGAAAGGAGCAAGGCTGATAGCAACCGAGCTTAGTTTTGGTTTTTTCTTTCGTCTTTTGATAACCTCCTAGCCACCTTTTCGGGCAACAAGATGACTGTAATCACGCGCTACGTTATTAAAGCCCACTCGCTCGAGACGATCGGATATGCCTACGGCAAGCCAGTCTCGGACGCTGAACATGGTCAGTGGATGTCGAGCGTGTATCTAGCGGTCGCTAGAAAGACCTTCAGGTCTGTACCACGAAGAAGGAGATCGCCGAATTGGAGCTTCGTACTGTTACCGAGGAAGAAGCAAAGAGCGGGAACGGTACGTATGTGGACGGTGCGGTGTGTATCACCCGGGTTCCGAAGAGAAAACCAAAGTCTGGGACTATGACGTCGTGGTCGGGTACTCCTGGAAGGATCGCCGCGGAACTTTGCAGTTCACCTTTAGTGATGGCACTTCAGAACTGGACTTTCGTGAAGATGAAATTCAAGATTTCGCATTGGAGACATACGGCTTGCGACCGTGTTAGATGAGAAGCGTACTCGATATAATGCCAGCTGAAGTGAGAGTCGTTCATTCCAGCGCGTATGATCATTTTAGTGGATAGGTCAAGCAGCGAGGACGAGTTCTGCCAAGGTTCTGAAAAAGCTGTCGATGACTCCAGTGGATGAGAGCCAGGACATTCCGCTATTCGATGTAGAGGCAACTCGTGTGGTCTACTCATCAATTGAACGTATTATCAATTACGTGTTTTATCGAGAAGGCAGGCGACGAGCGCCTCAGGGTGTTGTTGTACAGAAATGTGCTAATTACCTCGGTCGAAGAAGCTAACGAGGTAATGAGATCGGAGCAGCAGCCGGCAGGGAATCTTGAGGAGGAGAACATGGAACAACTTGGCGACTCAGATGACGACCTGCTACCCAGTGAAGGAGCTCAGCACGACCTATCAGGCAAGATGAACAAAACGGGGAAGCATGCTAGAGATACTGAAGCCCCTCAGCCCTCGGGTGATGCGCGACTGTTGACGATGCGCCGTCGACTGGGAGATGACCCGAGATGGTCAAGGAGATTGATCAAGTAATTGCGTTTCGCCAGGCTAACTTGGCAAAAGGCAGCCCGAGCACCTTGGTGAAGGCGGCGTCCTCGGACCCAAAATCGAAGTTTAGGCCAAAGCAACAGCAAACAACGGTGCACAACTCTCTTGTTAACGATAAGTACGCATCTCTTGATGCGCAATTATTCTATGATACTGTGCTGTCACACGCAAGAGAAAATGGTGTTTTGCCACATCCTGCTGCATCCCACGGATTCTACGGTTAAAACTTTGGATATCGTGGTCTTTCTGTGATGCTCTTTGCGCAAATGGATGTGGAGGAGAAGTGTAATGGGCTTGCTACGTGCCCACTACTTCGGCTTACACGTTAGCGCACGTGTATGAGGAAACGTAGTTTGCTTAACTTAGTTTAACTATACTTCCGTCTCGTAAGTATAGATTTACTTAAATAAGAAAAGCAAAAGCCAATTTACCGTA